ATGTGGGTGCGAGTGTTAGAGTATTCTATTTATTTTACACCCACATCCACCTACGAGTCACCTTGCTTTTTTACTGTAAAAACAGTATAATACTTTCAGATGTTAACTAGATTCATACTTCTCAGTTTCATTATGTTTGCCATTAACCCAGGATTATCAACACAAAATCGTCTTTTGATTATTTCATTGGACGGTTAGTCAGATATACTGACCAAGAGTCACCTTATTCTTATTTTCATTTATATTCAAAGGATTTTCCCATGATTATTTGAAAACTCATACTTTACCAACTATTAATCGTTTTCGAAATGAAGGCGTACAAGCTACACAAGGAATGCGACCCACCTATGTTACCATGACATTTCCGAATCATATTTCAATTGCTACAGGTACTGTGAATGTGTGACTATTGCATTCGCTATTATAGTTTGCATAGGAATGTACGAAGACGAACATGGAATCATCAACAATCGATTCTTCGATCGATTACTCAATAAAACAATTACTATGAGTATACATATATAACTTAGAAAATATGCTATTGATTTCAGATGAATTTCTATAGGTAGTCGTGATGAAGGACAATGGTCTGATCCAAAAGTTGAACCTATATGGATAACGGCGACGAAACAAGTTTGTCATTTAATTTTCTCTAATGGTTTCTTTTAGTTATATTTTAAAGAAAAAAAACACAGCCGTACTCTTCTGGCCAGCATCTAACAATGATTTTCACGGAATTCGACCAGTCATCTACAATTGGATGTATAGTGATACTATATCATTTCGGGAGAAGATCGACAATGCTATATCCTACTTTCGTGATCTTAATATTCAACTTGCCATGATCTATCACTAGTAAATTCTCAGATATAAAGACAGTCAATTCATTGAATATTTCAGAAATAAGGAGTATCTCCGTATTCTGAGAATATCTCTTCTGAATTATATCCTACATGACATTACTTTTTTCAAAAACATGTTTCACATCAATGACCCTAGTATACATGTTAATTACACGCTACTCTATTATCTCAGCTTTGTCTACTTAGTATAGAGCTTATCAACAAGTAGAAAAACAAATATTCGAAAAGACTCGTAACAAGTTATTTCACAAATATAATGACTAACTTCGTAAGATCGTTTGCGTGAAATATTTAAGAGAATGACAGCTCATAACTATACCAGAGGCACAGATACGAATATGTGTGGAATCATATAAGATATTATCAAAATACGAAGATACTCATTATTTCATGAACATTCGGTAATTCTAGTGAACCAGATGCACAAGGTCATTGGTATGGAACTGATTCCAAAGAAATGCATGATATTGTAAGTTGATCTAGAATATTTTAATAGTAACCATTATTTGTTCTTCTTCCTGATAGTTAATTCAACTTGATAGTGACATCGATTATTTGTTGACCAGAGTAAAAAATGAACTTGATGACGACTTGGATATTATCTTATTGTCAGATCATGTATTTGAAAAATTTTCCGAAAAAATCGATATGCGAGAAGTATTTGTGCTTATAGGGAATGATCAATATCAAAAAAGTTATTCGTCCATTCGTAGATGGATATCTTGATCCATCTCTAGTTGAAGATGCGGTTCTATCTGGCCCCTACTTCAGTGTCACTCCAATTCCAGGACAAGTATATTAATATGCATGAATTTTCTAATCTTGACCTTAATAAACCTAGGTTCAACGAGTGATGAATGATCTCACACGTATTCCCAATGTAACAATCTACACAAGAGACAAATTACCTGACCGATTCCATTACTCCAAACCGGTTCACCGACTTGGAGACATTTTTGTGATACCGAATGAAGAAGGTGTCTTCTTTTTAGAAGTAAAAATTCTTGCTCATTTTTTTCATACATTCTGACGGTATTTCTTGTAATTGTAGTCAAAAATTAATGATACATATTATCAAAAAGCTAATCATGGTTGGGATAATAGCCTTCTTTCGATGCAAGCGATATTCATGGCTCGTGGTCCATCATTTAATCAACAAGTACAAATTAATTCTCTCAACAATGTCGATATTTATCATATAGCTTGCCGTATTCTCAATCTAACACCGAATCCTTATGCCACAGCTGGTTCGCTTGATAATCTGACAAGTATTTTTCGTGTGAAAAATTCAAGCAATATATATTCTCCTTCATTAATTCATCCAATCATTTTCCTATTTTTATTTATTTTCAATTCCGACATACTAAGCGGATGAACAAACATTGATCAAATTGATTGACTACACTGTAAAAAAATAAACGCATAATACAAAAGCCTTAAAGGGTACTCTTGAGGGTGGGCGTGGGTGTGGGTGTGGGTGGGGTGGATGTGGGCGTGAGAATATTCTTCTCGTCACCCACACCCACACCCTCAAGATGGTCCTATCTCATATCTTGTGAAGTTTTAAATAATATTATCATTGATGATACAACGATTTTTAAAAAATAAAACTATATCTATTTATTATAGTAACTAATAAAATTCCTTTGACAAATAACTATTGAGAACTCTAGAATATGATATCAAAATTGAATGTCTTGTAAAATTAATCTTCATTAGAATTACTCAGGTATTAAAACACAACGATAGTAAACAGATCCATTTGATAATATTACGTTTGGATCTTCATATACATAGTCCGTGCTGGTTGCCATAAATTCATGTGTCATATCAAAATCAGATTGTAGAAAACCATTAGCACTTCCTGCAGTTGGCACAGATGTATAAGATGAATATCGCAAGAGTGCATAGAAACATCCAATTGTTAAATTATTTACTGTAACAGTTCCATGCATTTCTCTAGGATGTTGCTGAAATATTGGATTAGGTTCATCCCATGCAGAAACAGATAAGTGAACTGGTAATGTTACGGAATCTTCATCCACAATACCAGTAATAGCTATACCATAATCAACCTATAATATCATATAAACCTGTTTATCTATATTAAATGATTAAATTATAATAAAAATATTTACATTCAATGGTAGCCAAGCATCATCATCATCATCATCATCATCATCATCATCGTCGTCACCATCATCGTCGTCATCATCATCAACAGCTTCTCTGTCTAATCCAAATTCGTCTTCGTTGAGATTTTTCTCGAATCGCCTATTCTCATATAAATCATGATAGATGATTGTATCATGTGGATCATATTGATCTTCATTTTGATATCGTATACCAACGGCTGGAACAATATGATCATAATCTGTTTCATCCCCATCGGGGAGAAAAATTCCAAATATGACAGGATGTCGTCGTAAGATTGATCGTTTCATCCAATGACAAAAATCGCGAAATTGTGGCTGGGGAGAATTAATCCAATCCCATTCATTATATGTGAAATGAAGTAATGCCAAAGTACGCAATGGATTTCGATGATTATTGCGTGGCACTGGTTGTAATAGATATTCACCTTCATTTATATCACGAATCAATTGTTGAGAAATCCAAGCACCATAATAGAGACCTAATAAAATGAAACACTTATTAATTATATTGAGATTATCGTGCATGTGTCTATTAATTATTTAAAAATTAAAAAATATCGTTGAAAGATTGGTTTTTATTATTTCTTATTAGACGAAACAGTATCTGATAACTTCTAACGTTCTTATGATATACTTTAGATCTGTAAAACTCAACCGTTCATAGACAACAAATATACCGATAGACTGAACAGCTGTTTCACCACAATAACCACGTCCATGTATCCATTGTAATCGTGATGGAATATCAAATAAAACAGTTTGCTGCATGATTGTTTCAGTTTCTTCTTTGATGATATCTTTTAAACTCATATTTGACATTTATGCTTGCAGCTCGACTATTTATTATCCAGTATCTTGAATTTTTATATCTTAACGAGCCATAAAATTGGACAGCATACGCAGAATGTTTTTTCGAAATTTCCATATTTACAATGAAATAAATTTTATCCGTGTCTGCACGGCACATTGGATATTTTCATTCTTTTCTTTAGTTTTACAAGCTTTGATAGCTAATAACATACTTTGCATTTTTTCTATCGTTACTAAACAGTAAAGAATAAATATATTTATTGCTTTACTAGTAAAATACATTTTTCATACTCAACAAATGATTTATATGATAAATAAAAACTATTCTCTAATATCAAGACCTTCTGTTGAATTGAAAGAGCAAAATTAATATTACATCATTTTTATCTGTTTTGGATGTGGTTGTGGGTGAACGTCATTCCAGAATGAATTCAACACTCACAACCACACCCACATATAAGTTGCTTTTATTCTCTGCGCCTGAGTCGTATTAAATAATACGAGAAGGTGTGGGCATTCTCTTAGCCTTTGTCCACACCCATACCCTCAAGAGTGGCTGCCGTACTGTTTTTTTTATTTCTTAAATAATTGAAAGTACTCTTGTTGGTAAAAAACATATCGGCTAAAAACCTGATTGCTCAACTGACACTAGCTGATTCGGTCCTGCCCAATAGCTTCAGTACTTAAGCATCGAAGAATTGAACTTGTCAACAGCTAGTTATGTTTTGAAAGTTATTTAGTCAGAATAGAATATGCTATTTTTTGGAGCATTTTATAGCGCATTTTTTCATAAAAGCAATTGAGTCTGTTCATTAAATTAAAGCTAATTCAGCGACAAAAAAACTGAGAGGTCCATTTATTCTGTCCATCCATTAACATGTGAATGCTAGGAAAAGCATGTGATAGGCTCATAAGAACAGACACATAGGCATCAAAACAATAGCACAGAAAGTATAGAATAAAATGAATAGACAACACAATGCATTTTTAGCGAAGAAAGAGTCAAAGAACTAATTTAATGTTCGTGCAGAAGTTAAGGGGTAGCCACAGAGGGAGTATTTGCGTCACCCAATGGCATTGACGCTTCATGTTGCCATTTCTTCGCTACCCACGACTTCATAACCATGTTGTATGTCGATTCACTTGCCGATTGTATCTTATTCCAACAAGTGAGATAGCAAATCAAATAGAAACCGGGTGCTAATATGATGAAAGTATCAACAATATAGAGTGGACTCTTCGTTTTCATGGCCATTTTAACAAACCACATTACAGTCAACCCGTAGAATATGCCTAGAAGTGGATAAACGACAATCAGAATCATGTTTATTATAATCTTGACGCTTTGAGCGCAACGGTCGAGGGCAGTGTGGATATGCACAAGTAAATAACCGAATATTAACAATAGGATGATGAAAAAGAATGTGACGATAGCTATGACCAGTTGGTTAGTGATAAAGTTGTCCACAATCATCTCAATGTCGTCTCGGAACTTCTCCAGAGCTTCATTGAATACAGCAGTTGTGGCATTTTTAGCACGTTTGATGATCAAATCAGCAGAGACTAACAAGGTTTGATCAGTATGTGCAATAACTTCCTTTACATCTTGTTTTATTTTATTGCTTGCATTATACAGTAGGTGTAACATATTTTCCTTGATGTTGTTAAACAATCCTCCCGTATTACTAGCCGGAATGTTGTTCAAACTATGAACTGCTTGGACGCCAGTCTGTAGAGTTTTATTGACGATACTTGTGAAAGTGTTCAGCAAGTCATGAAAGAAATTTTTCTGATTCACGACGGATTCGCCCATTTTTTTCGTTCTTTTGTGGTTCTAAATGAAGAGACAGGACAATAGTACTCGATTATCTCTCTTTTATCGTGACACATTTCCGGCTGTTTTCAATAAACTTATTTTCGATAATAACAAGAACTAAAAAGAGCAGAGTAGTAATATTTTATTATTTGTACGTCTTTGTAATACATCTCTTGAATTCGTCTAACGACATAATGCAATGCTGAAACTATTGGTTCAAACAGATCTTGGCATGCTTTACTACTAAACTTTACTAACGCGCTTGTCACAATCTGTAATGTTTAGATAGTGAGGTGCGTTCCGTTTGTAATTTGTCCTTGCTAAGGCCTCGACCAAATCTGTCCGGGAACGCCAACTAAGTTCAGATTTCTACTCCTATACTTCAGTATCTCTCTTAGATCGCGTTTCACACAAAAAAAACATATAACCCATTTCAAAAATTAATGTGTGCCACTGTTTTTTGAATCACTCGACAACATAAACAGCTAGGCTCCTGTAGTTTTCATCCATTAAAAGAGAGAGTAGAAGGACATTTCTTTCTCTAATATTATTGATAATAAGTAAACAAATTTGCTTAAAACTTAAAAGAAATCCACGCAGTGTTGTATGGGTAAATAGACGATTTGATTTTCGCAACACTAGAATATGTGGATCATGTGTCAAAACCAAAATTTCATTAGAATAATAGATCGTTTCTGAACATTTTTTCGATTTTTTGTGAGAATGACTTCGACTCAGATAATATTGAAGAAAAAGACGTCCCCTTGTTTTCTCTTTCGATCGATAAAAATCACATGTTTCTAACTGCTTTTATTCTCGAGATATTCGAAAAGCAGTGGAATATATTATGTAATCGTGAGGTTGTTAAAAAATGCACTGGGAAAAACTGTACGAAAACTGAGCAGTCATCCTATTCCGGAAAGTTACACATTCCGGAATCGCTTGGCCCATCCGACTTAACATCATTCAATTCCGGAATTCCTTGTATTCGATTCCAGCCCATTCCGGAATGGATTGCTCAATTGATATTTATGTAAAGCTTAACATATAGAGTTTTCGTCGGTGTGCAAACACAATAGTGTGGGTGCGCGGGAGGCTTGATCGGTGGGCAAGCAAGGAATGAGTAGAAATTCCTCCCCATTCCTAGCGATTCCGGAAATGCAGGAATGTGCACGAATACTGGAATTCCGCTTAGGAATGGAGTCGATCGTTTCGGACGATCTTATCCACACGGAGTATATCTCTTTCAATTCCAGAATAGGCAGGAATCGAACGCGAGAAATTCCGGAATAGGTACGAATAGTATGCTAGGAATTCCAGAATTGAATTATGTTGAATTGAGTGGGTCGAGCGATTCGCGAATGTGTAACTTTTGGGAATAGGATTCATTCTCCGAAAACTATATGGAAAAATATAATCGAGCATAGCATCGCCATATGATTCGTTCAGTTTAGGTATAGGAAACATTATCTGAGCAAGCCCATACAGATTTGTACAGGTTTCACGACGCTTCTGTTAAAAAGAACTAAGACTATATACTTTACATGTATTGTGATATGCGTAAAATATTAAATGTTGTAATATTTCTTTTGCATGTAATATAATTTAGAAAAGACTGTCAAGTTGATGTAACAGAAAAGTGAGAGATAGAGTTTATATATATTAGAAAATATAATTTTAATAAAACTGTCATATAACTTTGACAGAAGAGCATATGGTAAAGTATATCTAAATCATGATATTCACTCGAGTAAATACGTTATTACTTAAATATTGAGTCGCTGTCAAAAATGTTTGTTAGCTACAATCATGTAAAATATTTCCATTGATCAATTTGAAGAAAAAATTCTCTTGTTTGACTTTGAGAAATCGAATCGATTTTTGAGATTATTAATCATCTGATTGAAGTTCATTGAGACATATGAATGAATTCTTGTTCTCTTCTTCGAGATTATATTCACAATGAATATTTAAACAAATCAAATCTCTAATTTCATAATTGAATAAAGGATGATGATAATAATAACGATTTCGCCTGACGAAGTCTTTTCTAGTGAGTGACTTTCTGATGAGGATTATATTGTAGTTCTTTTGTCGTTTCTTCATTGATGAATGCTAAAATAATATTTGTTTTGGAATAGTTTTCGTATGTACACATATGGGTTTTTAATCTGAGCACTCAAATAACCGAAGAGAAATAGAAAGATTTTTCATCAATTGTGCAAAACTTCAAAAGCATGTCGTAAATGAAATAAATAAGTGCTGTCAGTTCAAAAAATACGATTTGTACAGAATTGCTAAAAATATTTAAGGTATAATAAAAGCTATTTCATGTATTTTTAAAGCACACAGATCCTTCCCTCTCATCTTCATCCGCGATCGTTAGATTATTTTCTATAAAAAAAATATTTTGAGAAAGAATCACTCTTTCTAGCTTGACAAATAATAACTATCTCTGGAGTTCACGAGTAATATCCTATTTCTTCGTCCATTTACTCCTTTCATCAAGTAGTTTTTATAGAAACGTCCGAAATCCAATATTTTCTTTATGTGTGTTCCTGACCAGGTGTTCGTATAAAATTCAGTCATGTAAACATTTGATGGATACACGAACATTAGCCAAGTAATATCCATCGGAATATATGACAATGCTTGTATGGTGATTTTAAAAATGTATTCTACAGTAGAAATTCCACAGTGCAAATATGTCTGCCGAAAAGGCCTTATTGGATACCATATTTGATATGGAGCGATACAGAGAATATACACAATTGGTGAGACGAATATGAACAAATGTTTTCTTAGTAGTTTGAAAAATATTTTTTTTCTTGATTCCTGACCAGTACCATAGTGATATATATGTAGGGCAAAATAAATCAGAACGAGTAAAGTTGCTACTACGTAGATGAGACCTGCAAGAAACGCAGCTGTATAAAACCATCGTATTGCTCCACGTGACTTTAGTGTAACATGTGATGAAACCCATTCACATCGATAGATCAGCATTGATACGCAAGTTATAGTAGTAATAGAAAAAGTAAGGACCAATGTAATGACTGATCGCCACCGTGTCGCATTCATTTTAAAATTAAAGCAAGTGATAAGAGCACGTTCAAATGCAACTAGGGCACTCATAGAAACACAAACTAAACCGGCCACTTGATCTCCACTCTTTTTAAAAAAACAATCAAAT